AAAAACAACAGAAGTGTATTGTCTCATAGTTCTGAAGCCAAAAGTCCTACATGAGGGTGTCAACTATTTCATCCCTTCTGAGGCACTGAGGGAGACTCTGCCTGGTGCTGCTCTGCCACCTTCTGCTAATGACTGAAGATCCTTGGGTTGTGGTGGAACCACTGCAATTCTCCACCTCCATTATCGCATGCCATAATGTCTCTCTTCTCTTCCTTTGTAAAAAAGATTGTGTTTTGATTGTTTTAAGACCTAGCCTATTCCAGAATGGGAATTTCAGAACTCCTCATTGTGTTTATGCAGGAGGAGTTTTGAATCAAGTTCTGAATCAAGAGGCCATTGTACGAACAGAACAAGGGATGGTTTAAAATCAGGAAAGGTGTGCATCAGGGTTGCAGCTTCTTATACTTATTAAATTGAGCAAATGATAAGAGACACTGGATTATATGAAGAAGAATGAGGCATCAAGTTTGGAAGAAGACTCAGTAACAACCTGAGACATGCAGATGACACCACCTTACTTGCTGAACATGAAGACTGGAAGCACTTGCTGATGAAGATCAAGGATAGTAGCCTTCAGTAGGGATTACAACTCAATGTCAAGAAAATCAACATCCTCACAACTAGACCAATAGGTAACATCAAGATAACTGGAGAAAAGATGGAAGGATTTTGTCTTGCTTGGATTCATAATCAGTGCTCATGGAAGTAGCAGTCAAGAGATCAAAAGAAGCATTGGGCAAGTCTGCTACACAAGAGCTCTTTAGAGTGCTGAAAATCAGGGAGGTTAGTTTAAAGACTAAGTTGCAAATGACCCCTGGTGGCATAGTGGTTACCCGTTGAGCTGCTAACTTCAAGTTCAGCAGTTTGAAACCTTAAGCCACTCCTCAAGAAACAGATGGGTAAAGAGTCACAATCTTGGAAACTGATAGGGGCAATTCTACCCTGCCCTACCGGGTGCTATGCGTCAACATAGACTCTGTGGCAGTGAGTTAGTTTAGAGTTAAAGGTGCACCTAACCTAATCCATGGTATTTTCAATCACCTCATATGCATGAGAAAGTTAGACATTAAATAAGGAAGACTGAAGAGTAGATGCATTTGAATTATAGTGTTGGCAAAGAACACTGAAAGTATCATGGCCTGTCAAAAGAACAGACAGATCTGTCTTGGTAGAAGACCAGCCAGAATGCTCCTTAGAGGCAAGAATGGTGAGACTCCATCTCACATACCTAGGACATATTACCTGGAGAGACCAATCCCTGGAGAAAGGTATCATGTTTAGGAAAGTAAAGGGGCAGTAAAAATAGAGGAGACAAAGAAGCCGTCAAGAAGATGGTTTGACACCGCAGCTGCAACCATGGGCTCAAACATAGGAGTAATTTTGAGGATGGTGCAGTACCAGGCAGTGTTTCACTCTGTTGTGCATGGAGTAGGTCTGGGTCAGAATGACTCCATGGCACCTAACAGCACGACCTTATTACAGTGTGACTTCCTGTTAACTGATTACACACATCTTCAAAGACCCTATTTCCAAGCAAAATCATATGCACATGTCCCATGAGTCAAAACGCAAATATAACTTTTATGGGGCTACAATACAATCATGACACAATGATGGATGGATGGATGGATGGATGGATGGATGGATGGATGGATGGATGGATTATAATAAAAATTCTCCAATCAGGGCTAACTCTACAGGAATTCAGATTCCAAGATTCCCCCAGATTCCCAAGATTTCCCTGTTAACATGAAGGAAAACGGGAAAAGGATGCCATGAATTGAACTGCATCTTCCAAAATCATGTGCCAACTTGGCTATTCCATAATTCCCAGTATTGTGTGGTTGTCATCCATTTTGTGATCTGATACAATTATCTTACATTTGATGATATGTGTGATAAATACTAATTTCTATATTTTAATGAGAAAGAATTAGGGTAAATTGAGGCCATGACTGAAGTCCCACCTTACAGAAGATACCACCATTTCTCCAATACTCAAATCGCACAGTCACACCTGACTCAAGTACCACTCTTGTTTGGTGCACACCTTTACTCTCTCATGAGATGAAAGGAGGGAGGGGGAGGGACCCTGTTACCACTATGAAAGAAGATCCAGGAGCAGAATTTGTCCTTTGGACCCATGGCCCTCACAGCGAAAAGAAAAGGCCTCTATACCACCATACAGCCTATGTATTGGTTATCCATTGCTGTTGAACACTTTACTTCAAACTTTATGGCTTAATACCACTGCAACTCTAAGGAGTTATTAATAATTTCATGCCCTCCAAGGTACAAGACTGGTTACAGTTAACTAGTTAACAAGAATAACCATTCATAATAACCAGGCTGAGGGGGAACTGAGAGAGTAAAACCCCAAACTCTATCTGTCTCTGCCCTCAACCTCCTACCAGGGCCTCCCACTGGCCAAACCCACTGGAAGTGAGAAAAATATGAGTCCTTTAATAAGATCCATACATGTTGGTTTCCATGGGCACAGAGCAAAATGGAAAGGTTGGACCTGGGCCGATGAGTGGAAGATACAGCACATTACACTCTGGTCATATTTTTCTAGAGAAATCTCATGATGGCAGCTCCATTACCAGTGTTTCATTTGTCCCTTTTTCTAATTCCTTATACTTATGGTCTAAATTGGGTTCTTGATTTGAGACTGTCCTGTTTTTAACATAAGTTGGAGAGCTATGAATTTCCCTCAGAGTACTGTTCTTGCTGCCTCTGATGTTTGCCATATTATGTTTTTGTTTTCATTGAACTCAACATCTTTTCTAATTTCAATTATAATTTGTTCTGTGGCTCTCTGACTGTATAAGGATATACTTGTGAGGTTTCCACCTTTTTGTCTTATGATTGATTTCTTATCAATCCGTTCTCGTGTGACCAGAGGAGATCCTTCATAGGGTTGCAATGCATCGGCAAGACTTAATTAAACAAAAGTGAAGAACTCTTCAGGGAGACAAAATAAAGGAATGCTGGACAAAGTGTCTTTCCCTGCTCAGTCTTCCACTGCCCTAAGAATGCTGGGCTGTCAATGGCTCCCTCCACTGATACTCAGCACACACTGGATTCTGACCAAGTCAAGAAATTAAGACAAAATGGAAAGGGCATAAATGGGCATAAATAAAATTGTATTTTATTTAAGATACAGTAGTTCTTCCTGGAGTCTCTGGGTAATGCAAATGATCAATGTGTTCAGCTGCTAGTTGAAAGGTTTGAGGTTTGAATCCACCCAGAGGGATATTAGAAGAAAGGCCTGGCAATCTACTTGTAAAAAAGTGACCCTGCGGTGGAGTACAGGTCTACTCTCATAGACTTAGGCTGTTATGATTGGGGTCAACCCCATGGCAACTAATTTTAGCAGCCCCTCTTTCTCAAGTGGACATGTTGTCAGGAGAGACTAGTCCCTGGAAAACGACACCATGCTTGGTAAAGTAGGGGGTCAGCAAGAAAGAGGAAGGCCCTGGACAAGATGGATTAACACAGTGGCCACCACAAGGGGCTGAAGCCAAGAATTGTAAGGATGGTGCAGGTCCAGGCACTGTTTCATTCTGTGTTAGACAGAGTCTCAATGAGTTGGCGCCAACTTGAGAGCTACCGAATTTCTCTGATGAGAAAATGACATCTCTGGAAGAACAAGAGTGGAACGTGGTGCAAGTCCTCATTTAAGAACTCTGCGACCCATGGCTCGGTGCCAGAGTCCGCCTCAAGGCCAGCCTCACCTCCTTATTCCGCAGGGTGTACACCACAGGGTTCAACAACGGCGTGACCACCGTGTAAAACACAGCCACCAGGCGGTCCTGGTCAGGGTTCCCCTCTGACTCAGGTCGCAGGTAGATGATGGAGGCACAGCCAAAATGCACAACGACCACAGTGAGGTGGGCCGCACAGGTGGAGAAGGCCTTGTGCCTGCCCGCTGCCGAAGGAATCCTCACGATGGCGGCCACAATAAAGGCGTAGGAGAGAAGGATGAGGAGAAAGGAGACCAGCACGACGAGGATGCTCAGGAAGAAGATGACGAGTGCTTTTCTGGCACGCTCGATGCAGCTGAGCTTCAGCACTGGGAGGACATCACAGAAGAAGTGCTCTACACGGTTGCTGCAGAAAGGAGAGGAGAAGATCATGCTGGTCTCTATCACGGCCACCGAGGTCCCAAAGCAGAACATCAGGGCTCCCAGCCCAAGGCAAATGGTGGGTCTCATGATCATCGAGTAGCGGAGGGGGTGGCAGATGGCCACATACCGGTCATAGCCCATCAGGGTAAGGAGAAAACAGTTGCTACTCCCAAAGCCCAGGAAGAAGAACATCTGAGCCCGACAGCCAGCAATGGAGATGGCCTTGTTCTCCATCAGCAGATGGGCTAGCATGTTGGGGATGGTGACTAGCGAGTAACAGGTCTCAGAGAGGGACAGCACTGCCAGGAAATGGTACATGGGAGTGTGGAGTGTACGGTCTACATGGATGATGGTGATGATGGTGGCATTGCCCCCAAGGGTGACCAGGTATGTGAGGAGGAACAAGATGAAGAGCAGGATCCTCAGGTCTGGGAAGTTGGAGAATCCCACCAGCACAAACTCCATCACCAGCCAGGTCCTATTTCCCTGTTGCTTCTCAGGAGCCTGAAAGGGAGATGACAGAGTCAGTAGAGTAGCATATGGATGATCTGCTTACTGGCCATGAAATGTATCATCACAAATCTACACCACAGGTACCTGGTGCATGAGCAGATCATCACATTGACTACATCTGTGGAAAGAGATAATAGGGAAGCTCAGCAGCTGACAGCAGGCCAGGGACTAACTCTAGAACAGACCATCAATTGCTCCTAGGTAAGTTCAGATGGAAGCTGAAGACCATTAAAACAAGTCCACTGGGGCCAAAGTATGACCTTGAGTCTATCCCACCTGAATATGGAGAAAATCTCAAGAACAGAGTTGGAGCATTGGACACAGAATTACAGAAGACTTGCTGAGCTCTAGCGGGGACATCCAGAACATTATTCATGAAGAAAATAAAAAGTCATTAAAAAGACAGGAAAGAAAGAAAAGATCAAAGTGGATGTCAGAAGAGACTCGGAAACTTGCTCTTAATCTTAGACTAGCTGAGGCACATGGGAGAAATGAAGTCAACGAGCTGAAGAAAACATTTCAAAAGGAAGCTCAAGAGAACAAAGTCAAATATTAGAATGAAATGAGCACAGCCCTAGAGAGAGAAGACCAAAAGGGAAGGACATGCTCAGCACATCTTAAACTGAAAGAATTCGAGAAAAGACCCCAGTCCTCAGTTGCAATATTGAAGGATTCTATGGGGGAAAATATCGAATGAAATAGGGAGAATCAAGAGAAGATAAAAAGACTGCAGAGTCAAAGAGCTGGGAGGCAAAGGGTATTTATAGAGCTCTAGATAAAGACATGTACATATACAAATATATTATATGAGGATGGGGAAATAGATCTATGA